CCCCACCCCCACACCTCCACCCCATTCCGTGGCCTTACTCTGAATCCGGCGAAGGCCAGGCAGGGTCCCCGGATGTTCCGTTTCCTGACTTCGATCACCCTGAGCCTGATGGGCAGGGCTTCAGCTCGGCGAGGGAGGAGGCCGAGGTCTGGCCAATCATCACCGCCAGGACCAAGAAGGGGGCGTCGAGGCACTGCTCGCTGGAGAGAAAAGGACTCCACCCTCACCCTAGCCCTGCAGTCGGCCCTGGGAGGCCCCGGGCAGAGTTGGCGGGTTTGCGGTGCCCAGCCTTTCGTCGCGTCTGCGGAGGCTGAGGGACGTGCGGCTTTCGCTGAGGAGTGTGGCGATAGTTCGCAAAAGCAAGAAATTCTAGGCTCTGCCAGGCGTCCAGGTGAGGACCCTGAGGAAGAACAGGGAGGTCTCCCACCGCAGAGAGTGGGGGCCAAACTAGGTCCTGCCTGTGCCCCTCAGGCCCGAGGAGCTCCAAGTACAGGAGGTTGGATGTGGCGTTTCGAGACTTCGGTCTAGGACGTCTGAGGGTCCTGAGGCTTTCTCTGAGCGGTCCGAGTCACGTCAGGAGAGGGACGAGTCCCAGGCTTTCCCTAGTCCTGCCTAGTGGAGGAGACCTCCTACCTGAGGAGGAGGGGGTGGGGGTGGGGTGGCAAGACCTGCCACACACTCGCAGTTAGCTGTGAGAGACCACAGGCAGGGTTCCCGAATATGGTGTGTCCCGCCTTCCACTTTGGCAGTATGAGGCACCTGAGGCTGTGTCAATTGGGACTGGGCGCGTGTCAGAGGAGGGGAGTGTCCCCGGCTCTGCTAGGCATCTCTGAGAAAGCACTGAGGGGAGCCCTCGTCATAGAGGGAGTTCCCTTACCCCGCCCTCCCTGCTGGTCCAGGCCCAACCACCTCCCCAACCCCCGCCCCACCCCTGTTGTCAGGCTTGGGAAACCCCATGCTGGACTCCAGACTTCCATTTTGGGAGTCTGGGGAACATGCGGCTTTTTCTGAGCGCTGCAGACTCTGGTCAGTAGAGGGAGCAGTCCTGCGAGGCCCTGCGAGGCCCTGCGAGGCTTCAAGGTGAGCACCCCGAGGAGGGAGTAAGAGGGCCTCCCCCTCCAGATCCAGGGAACCCCACAGCAGTCTTCCCCTCGCATCAGCCCTGAAAACACACGGGGCAGGCCTGTGGAACACAGGGGCCCACCTTTAGCCCTCTGACTTATTTTTCTGGCATCTGACGGAGATGGGACCATCCTCGGGGCAGCAGAAGGGATGGCATGCAGACCCTGTCAGGAATAAATATGAACACTTTGAGAATAGATGATGGGACCTTCCGCTATAGACAGTGGGACCCCGCAAAAACCCCACCCCGCCCCCAGTCAACCGTGGGAGGGCTCAGGTATGGGGGTCGCAAGCGGTGCTCCCTCACTTCCGCTAGGAAGTGGTGGGACTTGCGCCATGGAAGTGAGGCTTCATCTGAGGAGGCACCATGAATACGTTGAAGAAAGACAGAAGATACCTCCCACTGCAGAACAGATGGGATTCAGCTCCTGCTATCAGCCCTAAGAGACTCTGGGCAGGAGTGGCAGGATATGGCCTCTACTTTTATCTGGACGTTCTCAAAGGAGAGAGAACCTAGGTCTGAAGGAGCAAGGGCAATGTAGCAGAGGGAGGAGTCTCACGCCCTGTTGCGGGGAGGGTCAGTTTAAGGACTGAGAACACACCCTACTGCGGAACAGATGAGACCCAGGGGTTCTCTGTCCTTGCCGTCAACACGGGAGTACCAGGGGCACGGTTACTGGATGTGGACCCCCCCCCACATTATTATTTTGGGGGTGGAGGTGGTCTCAAGGAGATGAAGAACTTGGTCTGGTGGGTGTGGCCTGAGTGGAGCGGTGGGAGGCATAGCACACCCTGCCAGGTGTCAAGCTGAGGTCTCTGAGGGAGCATGTAGATAATCTCTCACCCCATAGGGTCTCACAGAAACTTGCCCCTGCTGTCAGGCCTGGGAGGCCACACAGCAGAGTTGTCAAACGTGGCATTTTCTGACTTCCACTTTGGGAGTCTGAGGGAGCTGAGGCTTTTTTGAGGGTTGTGACCTCAGGTCATTAAGAGGGTGCAGTCCCAGGCCCTGCCAGCCATCAAGCAGGGGACTGTGAGGGCGGAGCGAGAGGCCCTCCCAACCTGGGTAGATGTGGCCCTGGGCCTGCCCTGAAAATGCCTCAGTCCTAGTGAGTGTGTCCCGGCCCTGCCCAGCCTCTCTGGTCAATCCCAAGAGCCCACGGCAATGTTGGTCAGATGTGGCATTTCTTTACTTTTCTCTGAGGGAGGGTCTCAGAGAGGTAAGGGCCTTGGTCTAAAGCCGTGACAGTCTGAGGCGGGGCGCATCAGTTCAGAAGGGGGAGGAGTCCCTGGGCCTGTCAGGCATCAAGGTAAGGGCCCTTGGTGAGGCTTGAAGGCACCCCTCTCCCAAAAGAAGGACCCCACAGAATCTCAGTCCTGGGAGGATCTGAGCAGCGTTGGCCAGATGGGAGGAACTCTCACTTTTTCCAGGAGCTCTACCAGGAGTCAAGGTGATGGAGTGCTTTAGGGAGGTGAGGTCCTGGTTGGAGGGGGAGCTTCAGGTCAGCAGAGGGGAAGCTAGGCCTTGCCAGGAGTACAGATGAATAAATACCTGGAGGGAGGATTGAGTGTATTCCCCATGCCAGTACAGACGCCAGACAGGGGTGTCTGGATTGGCCGACTTTTCACTTTTGTCTGGAGTGTCCCAGGGAGGTAGGTGAAGGCCTTGGTCTGAGCTGGTGACATCAGCAGAGGGAAGAGTCCCAGGATCTGTGAGGAGTCAAGGTAAGATAAGGACCTCGAAGGAGTACTAAGGGTATCCCCCAACCCAGACAGCAGGAGCCTCATAGAAACTGCACCCTGTCCCCGCTGTCGTCCCCGGGAGGGTCTCAGCAGAAATGCCCAGATGTGCTGTGCCGTCACTTCCTTCGTGGGGTGGGTGGAGGTGTTTCTGGGAGGTGAGGCCTTGTTCTGAGGGGCCGATTTCAGGTCACCAGAGGAGGTGAGCCCGGGCCCTGCTAGGAGCAAAGAGGGACACCTTGAGGGAGGACAGAGGGAACCCCCATCCCGGCACAGATGGGGTCTGGCCACTGCTATCAGCCCTGGGAGACCCTGGGCAGGGGTGGCCGGATGTGATGTCTCTTTAATTCTGTCTCGACAGTCTCAGGGAGGTGAGAGCCTTGGTCTGAGTGCGAAGGCAGGTCAGCTGAGGGAGCCTCACGTCAGGTCTGAAGAGAGAGGAGTCCCGAATTCTACCAGGAGTCAAAGAAAGGACTCTTGGTGAGGACCAAAGGTACTTCCCACCCCAGAAAGAAGAGACCACACAGAGCCTGGCGGTCTTCTGTTCTCAGCCCTGGGAGGACACGGGCAGGGTTGGCAGGATATGGTATGCCCTGATTTTCTCCGAGGGTGGGGCAGGTGTCTCGGTCGGGTGAAGTTATGTTCTGAGGGGGCTATGTCCAGTCAGCAGGGGGTGGCCCAGGCCCTGCCAGGAGGAAAGTTGAATATCATGAGGGAGGATTGAGGCTAGCCCCGCCAAAGAACAGATGGAGTCCAGCCCTTGCTGTCAGCACTGGAAGACCCTAGCAGGCGTGGCAAGACGTGGTGCCTCGTCGGTTTTGTCCACGGGTTCTCAGGGAGCTGACGGCCTCGTTCCGGCGGGGTGGCAGTCTGAGGGGGAGCCACATCAGGTGAGCAGAGAGAGGAGCCCCAGACTCTGCCGGGGTCTAAGATCAGGACCCTGAGCGAGGACTGAGGGCGCAGCCTCACCCTAGCACTGAGGGCATACCCAGCCCTACCCTGCCCCTGCTGTCGGCTTTGGGAGGCCCTGAGGCACAATGGCTGGACGTGGCGCACCCTCACTTCCTCCTTGGTGGTCTCAGGGAGGTGAGGGCCTGTTCTAAAGGGGCCAGACTCAGGACAGCGGAGGGAGGGCTCACAGGCCCTACCAGGCATCAGTGTGAGGGATGAGGGTCACCGTCAGGTAGGAGAGAGGGATCCGCCCAGACTTCAGCCAGCCCTTGGTGTCATGTGGGAGGGGGTGGGAGGGAGGAGGTGGGGGGCCTCGTTAGGGGAAAGGTGAGTGCCTTAGTGAGCATGGAAGGGATCATCCACTCTAGAACAGTCGGGACCTCACCGAGCTTGTCAGGGGCTCCAGGAGCAGTGAGGAGAGGCCCTTGGTGTGAGGTCCATGTCCTCAGGTCAGCAGAGCAGAGGAGGCCCAGGCAGAGCTAGGAGCGAGCCAATGTGAAGTTCACACCCGGAATGTCTATCAAGGACCCTACCCATGCCGGAGCAGAAGGGACCCCACAGCCCTCGACCCCACCTGCTCACAGTCAGACCCGGAAGCCTTGGGCTGCGCTAGCCGGCTGCACCCTGAGGAGCTTTCTCACATCCTTCTGCAGGTTCCTAGGAGAGAAAACGACCGGGAAGACAGGAGCCCTGTGAGGCCCTAGAGCAGACCCTAAAGCGGAGACCTGTAAGTCGGCCTCTGTCAGAGCTGCCAAGGGTACGTGTCTGCTGAGGCCGTTGACCCTCTCCCTCTCTCCCTCAGGCCCGTGGGATCCCATCTCCTGCTCACACTTCTACCTGCTGCCAGCAACAAGAGTCATCATGCCTCACTTTCCAAAGCGTCCACGCCTCACATTCGAGCCAAACTTTCAGACCCAAAGTGAGACACAGGGCCTGGTGGTAGCAGAGGTGCCCGTAGATGAGGAGGAGGAGGAGGAGACTGCTTCCGTTTCCTCTTGCTCTTTCACCTTCTCCTATCCCCCCACCTCGTCTTCCCCTCCTTCCTCTCCTGTGATCCCAGACATTGACGAGGAGGAGGAAGAGCATGAGGAGGAAGAGGAGGAGGTGGAGGAGGAAGAGGAGGAGGAGAAGGGAGAGGAGGAGAAAGAGGAGGAGGAGCAGCAGCCTGCTGCTCAGTCATTAAGTCCTCCCCGTAGTCCTCAGAGTTCCGGCTCCTCCTCTCCAGACATTGGAGGAGGGGGGAGAGCATGAGGAGGAAGAGGAGGAGGTGGAGGAGGAAGAGGAGGAGGAGAAGGGAGAGGAGGAGAAAGAGGAGGAGGAGCAGCAGCCTGCTGCTCAGTCATTAAGTCCTCCCCGTAGTCCTCAGAGTTCCGGCTCCTCCTCTCCCTCCTCCTCCAGCACTTCAGATGGAGACTCCAGCAGCCAAGATGAGGATACAAGCTCTCTGCAGCTCTCCATAGACACTGAATCCCTGAGTAGGGATTCGCTAGATGAGAAGGTGACTGATTTGGTGCATTTCATGATCCTCAAGTATCGACTGAGGAAGCCAATTACAGAGGCAGAGATGTTGAAGCTTGTTATCAAAGGGTGTGAGAGTGAATACCCTGTGATCTTTAAGAAAGCTTGTAGGTGCCTGGAGGTGATCTGCGGCATTGATGTGAAGGAAGTGGACCCCACCACTCACTCCTACGTCCTTATCAACTCACTGGATTTCACCTATGATGATGCGTTTAGTGACGACCGGAGCTTGCCTAAAAATGGCCTCCTGATAATCATCCTGGGTATGATCTTTATGGTGGGCAACTGCGCCCCTGAGAAAGACATCTGGGATTTCCTGAATATGATGGGAATATATGCTGGGAGGGAGCACTTCATTTACGGGGAGCCCAGGAAGCTCATCACCAGAGATTGGGTGCAGGAGAATTACCTAGAGTACCGGCAAGTGCCTGATAGTGATCCACCACGCTACCAGTTCCTGTGGGGTCCCAGGGCCCATGCTGAAACTAGCAAGTTGAAAGTTCTGGAATTTTTGGCCAAGATCAAAGGGACTGACCCCATTTCCCTCTCCTGCTGGTACGAGGAAGCTTTAAGAGATGAGGAAGAGAGAGCCCGGGGCAGAGTTTACCCCACAGATCGCGCTGCTGCCATGTTCATTGCACAGCGTCGTTCGGCAGCCTCTCCTTCCCCAACTGAAGAATGAGCCCGCGTCTTCACTCTGTGTTTGAGGGTCAGGGGAGAACACAGTGTACAACAACTTTCTGTTCCTGTTCTGTCTGGGTGACTTGGAGGTTTATCTTTTTTTTTTTTCTTTTCTTTTCTTTTTCTCCTTTTGGTATTTTTCAAACGCTGCTGTTTCATTAGCTTTAGAATCCAAGTGGGTAAAATTTGCAAAGCAAATGGGGGAACAGTCCATCTTCCTTTGTGATCTGGAACAAGAGAACATGACACCGGAATAGGAATTTCCTTGGAAATGTGAAAGAATTCCACAGGAAAAAAAATGTAACGGGTGGTTAATTTTTTTGATTCCCTTAAGCATTTTAGTTTACTCTGTAAAGTTAAAAGATGTACATACCTGGATTTGCTTGGCTTATTCAAGAAAGTAGGAGTAATCTTCATAAATGTTAATAAATGAATTTCATAAATGCTCACCGGCTCACTTGGCAAACATTAATTGTATATGTTCTCTTGGGAAAGCACTGTGTTAATAGTGGACATACTAGGATAAGCAAGACACACCACCAGCCGAAGAATGGTAGAGGCTAGGAGTAGCAGTCACGTCAGGAAGATGGTGAGATGTCCTCCAATGCCTGAAGAACAAGTGAAAACGAGGAGTGAGACGCCAGATGTGAGCAAACAAGTAAAACTGTCCTGAGCCAAGGCAGCGTGGGGCTTTGGGAGACTGCAATTCCTTCCGTGGGAGTTAATTCTAAGTTAAGCTGTGGGTGGTCGGATTCTCAGACGGGTGTGTTTTAGAAGTAAGAGAAAAGCCTGGAATGGAAAACTGCTTCGTAGTTACTTTTGGACCACGGGTAAACCAGAGAGAAATCTCCACCTGGGGCAGGAATGGAGGGCGTCCTGAACTCTTGTCCCAGTGCAGTTAATGCAGTGTGTGAACTGGGTGTTCTAGACACATCATCCGCAATGATTTCTTGAGGATAAGGTGATACTCCCTCGAGGTGGTACCCAGAATCCACTAGACTGGCACCCTTTTCCCTGGCCTGAGAGAGCCAGAGTCCGCTCCGGGAAACTGACAGTAACGGTAGCTTGTCTTGAGTGTAATTAGGCCACCTCTAAGCAAGGTCTAGATATGGGTGGCAGTGGAATGAATGAAAATAGCGTTTTGGATGGCTGCGTAGCTGGGAGGGAAGGAAGGAGATGGTCTTTGACTTAAATTCTAGGAACTCTTGAGTCATGGCAGCTGGGGAAGACTAACCCATACCCAAATAACATATTCTCTAGGACGGGGGTCCCCAACCCCTGGGCCGTGGCCTGTTAGGAACGGCTGCACGGCGGGACGTGAGTGGCGGGCGAGCGGGCGAAGCTACATCGGTATTTGCAGCCGCTCCCCAGCCTTAGCATCACCGCCTCGGCTGTACTTCAGATCATCGGGCATTAGATTCTCATAGGAGCACCGGTCCCTGGTGCCACAAATGTTGAGGACCGCTGCTCTAAGAGGAAAACTTGTTAACAATTTTGATTTGCGAAGCTGCATTCTTGCCTGATTTGCTGTTGTCTCCTATTGGGCTGCATATTAGCTGAGAATGTCCTAGGGAAAAAAAAAAAAAAAAAACCAGAGGAAAGGGCAGTAGGGTCTGGGGACAAAATACTGTGAGAAATTTCTGCCATTCGTTAAAGATTCGGTCAACGTCAGGCACTGTGCCAGATGCCTGCCTGCCTGCCTGCCTGCCTGCCTGCCTTTACGTGCATCCCAGCAATCCTTCCTATAAGACAGGGCTTATCAAACTTATTTAACAGGTGATGAATCTAAGGCTCACAGCGCTTGGTAATTTCCCCAAGATTTTACTGTTACTAAGTGACGGGGGCTGGGACAGGAACCTTGGTCTGAATTCAGCTAGCGCCTACATTGTTCCAACGCCTAGCATGAGCCGGGTCTTCTGTCTCTTACTCCATTTCTCTTCTCAGGACTCCATAATATCCCTCGGGAGACAAAAAGAAGGGCCATGTGACAAGGTACTAAAAGCAGGCCTAGAAAGGAAGGGTGAATGAGACTACAACATAATTTGGGACTGGTCTGAGCTTTATTTAGGGTCCTGCAGCTCTGAGCCCCGGGATACCTTAACAGTTGACTCTGCCCAGGTGCTGCCGTTTGCAGCCAGTCCTAGCAATTTCCCGCTTTACCGGCCCCACACCCCGATCTTCCCCAGTGTGGCCTTGTTTTGTACTGATCTCAGCCTATCAATGACCTGTGTTGTGGCTGGACCAGCCTTTGTGGTGATTATTATGATTGCAAGACACCCTTCAGCAATAACCACCAGGAAACTTGGAAAAGACACTGGCTTATTACTTACAAGACCTACAAGGTACACAGCACACCTGGGGCCATACAGCAAGGCGAGGGAAGGGGAGAGGGAGGGAGGGACGGAGAGTGCGCAAATACCTGGGGTTCTGCTTTTAATGGGTTGAGGGTTGGGGGCCTAGGGTTTCACAGGCTCACTATTGGAGAATATAAAATATAAGAGCGGGAATTTAAAGCACAGGAAGAGAAAATAAAACCAGGTAGTCCAAATGGTCAGTTACTGAAATGAACCAAGATTTCTAAAACGAGAGAGCCTCTGTGGGGGTGGTGGCCCGGCTCTTTAACCAGTCCTCTGGCTGCCAGTGTATTAGTATGTGGTGTTACATAGGCCAGTATTCATTGCCACAGAATATCTACCCTCTAGTGTGCCAACTGCTCAGAGTACATGAGAGGCTTCCTGAGCCATGGATCTAATTCAAGGCATGTACACACGGAGACCTGTATCTGCAGAGTCAGTGATGTGATGAGTCCCAGACAGCTTCCAGCCCTGGAACACTGGCAAAGATGCCCGGTTCCACTGGAGCACTCTAGAGTGTTACTCAAGCAAATTACTTAAGAAAGCAGCTATGCTCTTCCCGATGTTACGTAGTGGCAGCCCTAAGGCCTGGGGAAGTGTCTGGCATGCTACTGGTCCACTTGTCCAGTTGACCTATTTACTTAGATCATACTGCAACGTTTCGCTGGTATTGATGATTTCAAGATTTCCCTATCCTATTTATGTAATTTATCTAGTACCACCCACATAGATTCCCACCATCTCCCCTTTTGGACCCTTCTCCTCCCTACGCTGAACTGAAAACTCGTGGCGCTGACTGCCAGTCTGCCTGGGTCTCTCAGGATTTGCTTTTGCATATAGTCTCTCTTGTAGACACTGATATTTGCTCTATCCAGGACACTCTCAGTGCTCACAGCCTTATGGACTCCTGTGTGGTTGGTCACCTTCCCTGGCTCCTAGTCATTCTGAGTCTTCAAATTAAAGGGGAAATGTCCTCCTGACATGTTAAAATTTAAATCATGCCCAGAGGAATCTTTTTACTTCGGACATCATTGTATAAACCTAGCTTGATATGGGTGAGGGAGTAAGTTAATTTTCCGCTTAACCTAATGATAAAATGGGAGACACATAGTAGAATAACGTTGATACAATATTTTTTCACTTGTAATTTTTACCAAAATTGAAAATATTGGTAAAATAATATTTTTGAAAATGTGGGATATTCACATAAATTGCCAGAAAATATATTGGAATAAAATTATGGCAATATTTATAAAACTTTATTCATACCGTTTGCAAGTTAACTCAACTTCTGTTATGTCTTTCTGATTAGAAAACATACATTTTCCCAAGAACATATGTTCAAAGATGTTTATTTCAGTTCTGTTAATCATAGCAGCCAATGGGAAACAACATATATGACCATCAACAGAAGTGTCTAATTATGGCACATACATAATTTAGAATTCTAGGGTGTAAATACTGTCATGGAAAGATCTTTCACTTTTTAAGTGGCAAAGGTAAGTGGTAGGTTAATATATACATCATTACCAAGTATGTTAAAAAGAAAAACTATATTTTTAATACATCTATGAAAATTCCACAGTAAGCTTTAAAATAAGACATGCTAGAATGTTAATTGTAATTACCCCTGAGAAGGAGGCTGAATTTTGGAGGAACTTGATAAAAGGGAGCATTGTAATTGATTTGTATTTTTAGAATTTTTTACAAGAATATATGGACTACCACCTTTGTAAGTAAAATATTTGAATAAGCCCCAAACCAGAATAGGTGTGTATTAATCAGTTAAAGTAACTACTAGCTGATGCAATGACAAAACCTGAAATACAAGTGGCTTAACACAACAAATGTTTTGTTGCTGTTCACATGAATTCTGACTTTCGTTGGCATAGACTTTCTGCTCTTAGGCAATTCAAGGATCCAGGCTGCTTCTACTTTGTAGCTCCACTGTGTCAACATGGAGTCTCGAGTCTCAAACCTGCTGAATGGCAGAGGGAGCATGGTAGCACACTGGCCCCTGCCTAACTACAAGTAGACCACCCAGAAAGGAGAGAAAGACAAGATGTGGATGAGCACTTGTTGTCTCTCCCATAAGCTATCATAGAGTAGGTGCTCAATAAAAAGCAACTATTATAATTTGTTATGACAATGCTTTTCATTTCTTGAAGTTTATGAGAAAATCAATTTTTCCCTAAAATCCGCTTTTCAAAAGCCTACAATGTGACAGGGTGCTTTCAAATACAGGATCACATCTAGTTTTCAAAGGATCCCATAAATCTTTGGGAGAGTACACTCTTCACTTAATAACACTTTTCTGCACTGCTCTTTGCAATAACCTATAAAATCTCAGCAAACTAGGAATCTTCTCTTTCCTTGTGATGCGTGGTCAAAATATTAATTTATGATCCTCCGCTACCTCCACATGACTAACCATTCCTGAAGACCTGTATGGGTGCATTTTGGCACACTGCAAACCAAGATTTTACTGTGGAGCAGGTACACAGACAAGGGGTAATGCAAGGATGGCTATTTTAGTCAGCTTGGGCTGCAATAACAAGATAAACCACCATAAACTGGGTGGTTTAAACAACAGAAGTGTATTTCTCACTGTGTAGCATGGGGCAAACGGTTAATAATGTTGTAATAT